ATTTTACTGGTTTCAAACATGGCTTCGTTTCTGACTCGCGCCTAGTTTACCAGACAAACGTAGAAACCCAAGCTTGAGTGCGAATATTTTTCTGTGGTGTGCCAGCGTTGAAAGTTATTTGTGGTATTTTACAGGAGCACTGGTATCTTAAAAACAAGTTAAACGAGTCTATAAAGGTGCTGTTTTTGGCATCAGTGTCTCAAATAGACAGCGTGCCCAGGAACCCTACGGGGAAACATTCGGTTTTTTGAGTAGAATACGGGGACTATTGTCATGGGTTGTTTAATAGGCGGCTATATTTCTTGAATACCCGGCGCTCTGTTTACCCTGATTTTGATAACCAAGTTCAGAAGGTCTCAGACGTAAAATACTTTGGGCATTACCGGTAACACAACTAAAGTTCAAGCTCCCGAAATCACCCAAAAGGGTGAGCCAGAGCGTTTTTTAAATGAACGCCTTAATCAGTCAAATGTTAGCCACCCTCATGCTTCATATGAATGATGGGGTATTGGGAATGGTAGCCTTTAATACTGTAAGGAAAAGACGATTCAAACTTTGCTGGGCCGCTACCGAAGCCTCCTTTTTGTCTGACTGTCCGTCGGAGACACTTCCTAGATTCCCTGAACTTACAGGAGTCAAAAGCTAAGGTAGATTAGGCCCCGATGTCGAAAGACTCTTTACTTATCATCGAATTGCACGCTGAAATTGAACTTTAGCACACAAACGAACAGTTCTAGATGTTTCTATTTCCAGGCTGGTATGGCCCTGCGTGACCTCAAGGATATATCACAAAGGAAAGGTGGGAGAAACTTAGGTTAATTCATGGTCAATTCATGAATAAACTCGATCGAACAGCATGACAGTATGGCTTTCAAATTCACTTGGACGACTGGTGGATAGGTAGAGGGAAGTATACTTATGCGGAGTCTTGACGCTGACGGCAAGGCGGCAACCTTCTTCAAACCCACATTGGATGAATCAGTCCGCAAAGTACCAACGATGGGATTAAATGTGGAGGGAGTAGAGTACAACAGAGTCCACTGAAAAATAGGGAAGATGGGCAATCATAAACTCCTGCGTCCCCTGTGGCACCACCACTTTGTAAATACCCAAAGTACATCTAAGCCAACCCAGGTAGCAGGACCAAACTCTGCCCTAGTTAGCCCTTTCAGGCCTCATACTTATGATTGACAGTGATGATTTTTAGCTAATGTCCGGAACGCGCGAGTCGATGAATCTGTTTGAGGAGTATGGGCTACGAAAACGGTACTGAGGGTGTTTGCGGACAAACAGGCTGGTGTTGAGAGACGCTCTAGTATGCATTTCTGACCACCGCGCTATGCAGAGATTACCATTGGCGATGACGCCCAGCGAATTCACGGAAGACCTCGGGCTTTCCTGCCTACATGGAAGTCGCCGTTTGGCACAGCCAATCATCTGTCCTATGAGCAAAAGACTCCTCGACGGTTCTGATTGGCTGTGCAGCACTACTTCCAACGACAAATAACAGTCGCTTCTCAGTGTGCGAATGGAATGTCCTGGGGTTGTGTATAGTAATTAGCTATTTAATTTGTATGCAGAGTAATCGTCAGTGAACTTACTCCTCGCAGCCACATTACAGTTTATGAGTCTTGCAGAACGGGGTTCTAGGGCTGAACGGTACAGGCATGCGCCATCCAGGCGGTTAAGCGCGTCTTAGAGAATCAAACAGGACTTTAGAAAATATGAAAGACTTGACATCCCTTAATTAAGTCCCACTTGTTCCCAATCTGCATGTTCTCCTTACTGTGGGCAAACCACTCAGGTTATCTTTACGCAGTGGTATTCAAGATCTAGCTGATTCAGAACGTCAATCTTAATCGCGTGAGTCTAACGGAATTTAGATGTGTAACAAATGCTGTACCGAGTCTGTGGAGATGGCTGTGAAGCTAGGTGAAATTACACGACAGTAAGCAACGGCAACGCACCGAACTTATGGAGAATCCAACTTCCTTTTAGCTTAACCTATTATAACTTAGAGCACATAAGGTTTTCCAGATCCGTCTATGGTAAACAAAGTGTTCGTAGTACCCAGTACGAATCGTGCAACAAATACAGATTTCCAATTTTTGTAGAGATTTCTCATTTGAACCCTTCTCACTCGACCCACTGGAGAAGACAATGACTCTCTTGAGAATTTCTATCCGGTACAATATTGTATCCTGAAACTATTAATCAAGGGGAGATTGAGCAAACAGTCTTTCTTGTACATGAACACACAGGACCGGTAATGAGCGTTGACATGGCGGGAAAGCAGAGTATAGCGAGGAGGGACGTTCAGATCATCCATCAACCCGCGAATGACACCGTTGTCGGCCGGCGGACTAATGCGCAACAGGAACTTTCCCCACCCCGCAGACGGTGAGGGTGGGTCGGAAAATGGAGTGATCCTGTGCTGGACGCTGGCTTAGGCGAGGGCTTCTCAGTTTCGTACGAGTTCTCGACTGACTTAACTTCGGTCTTCACGGAAGGACAAAATGAATTTGGCGGAAAACTGTTAGTGCAAGACTGAAATATTTGAGTGTACAAAACCGTCAGAGAACTGAGCATGACATTCATTCCTTTACCGCAGATACGAGCGCTCACTGAGGAGGTGTAAAAAGATGAGATGGAGCAGTCGGACAAACCATCTCACGACGCAGCCGACGGAACGGAGACCACAGAGGTACAACCGACGGTGTAATCCAAATGGCGGCACAAGTGGAGTTCATCCTGATGATCTCTTAGGTTTGACAGCTTTGAATCTCAAAGGCTTTAATATCTAGACAGAAACCAGAAACTCGAATCATGCCTTTCCACAGCTCGGGAGCGCTACTCGGGAGCTACCGCAGGGCGACAAAGGCGGCACCACCCAAGGCTTTGATGGCGACAGACGCATTGCATTTTCCGTGATCTGTCCCAAAAATTGCTGACCCAACGCACGTTTTTCAGTTTCGACCCAGATTACCACTCTTGTGGGCGAGTTTAATACGGACGAACACGCGTGCATGTCCAATCATAAGCTAATCGGGATCATGAAACAAATGACAGTTCGACCATCGGTTTCGACGACGTTCACAGTGTGCCCCACAGGAAGATGAGAGCAGGGACGGCGACTTGAGCGTGAATTAATAAATAATGGTGGCAGACTTGCATATCATTTACCGCACTTTCTCAGAGTCAAAAAGACCGGAGGGGGGATAGGGCGTAGATGGTTGACAAAGCCGGAGCCGCCCCTAGGTGTGCGCCACACCCGGTTCGGATCCTACGGAGTGGGAGTACCATAGAGGTCACATTAAGGGGAAGCCATTGCAACCTGACTCTTAGTCCACCAGTCCGCCATTCCTCACAAACACATACTGGGCGGACTGCGAGGTCCGAGTTATCCCGTCAGTTGGCAACCTTCCAAACTACAGCCTTTAACTCACCGTGGTAGCCGCAAGCATGTCAGATTGTTCATAGGAAGGAAAATGCGTTAAGACGCCTACCTTATTCTCTATTTCCATTCTCAGGCCCCAGCCACTGTCCGAGCCGGTCAGTTGTCTGGTGTGGAGAATGGGCGCGGTGGTTGAAATATTTGGTGATATCGACTGCGCCTGACACAAACAAGCACCAGGATTTCACACGAAAGGGCGTGAACGGCATGGACACCACATGCGTTAGAATGCCAAAAGTCACGTTAGGAAGGAGCCGTTGTAGCCTCACTCTCGGTTGACCAGTCGGCCACTTCACAAGAACACACACTAAGCGGACTGCAAGGTCCGAGTTCCGTCGTCATTTAGCAACTTTCCAAACCACGGCGCTTAGCACGCCGTGGTAGTCTCAGGCTCGGATCCCACATGTAACGGAGAAGCCACATGGAGAATGAGCCGAGAAACACACTTCCCACTTACGTGGGAGGTGCCAATTACGTGTTTGCGTTATGTGATGATGGGTGATGTTGATGTGAGTTGTAGGTAGTGGTGGTGTTCTACCGCAGGTTTTCATGAATGTGCATGTGACCGAATAAACCCAGGCGGTGTTTGAATGTGTGAGGGTAATGCGGGCGCTTGAGTTAATGGTGTCCGATATATGCTGTTGCTCCAGGCATTGGTTCGCCAGTCGCCGTGCGATGGAATCGTAAGTGACCGAGCAGGCCGATGTGTGAGATGAATGTTCGGTCTCAATGACGACAAACTAGTTCCGAGTCCATTTCGCTGAAGGTGGGGTGATGATGCTGAGGGTGGTGGTCGAAGAGGCGTCAGGAGGGTTTCCGTCGATGGCGGGGGTGATAGAGGGGGTTGTGTTCATCGTCGCAGCGGTGATTATGGCAGAGATGATGGAGGTGCCGGGGATCGACGGCGGTGGGGCACAAGGATTTGAAGCAACGGTGTTGAAGGTGGGCGTCATCGTGGTTGGTGTGGAGGGGGGGGGGATCGGAGCAGAGGCGGTCGTGGAGGCAGCATTTGCGGTTGTTGGCGGTTGGTGCATTGGGTCCGGAGATGTCCAACGAGGTCGATCCGCGCTCGGGATGTTCGTTGACGTCGTGATCATGTAAGGTGGGCTTGAGTGACCATATCGCGAGTCGGGGCGCCTAAGACTTGCGAATTTTTCCGGTTTGCTTCGTAGACGGCTGTACCAGTCTTCACTGCTTTTCCCCAGACTGGTCTGTTCTGAGCGAAGTCCTCCCAGGCTATCGGGTTGATATACAGTCCCTTCAGGCAATCATTTAGAGTGTCCTTGCAGCGCCTTTTTTGCCCTGTCGGCCGGCGAGCAGTCGTAGCGACATCTCCGTAGGAGATTCGTTAGGGTAGTCGCGAATCGTCCAGTTTCACTAGTTTACCACTCCATCGCAGCTGCAGTTGGGTCAGCCAACGATGAATACGCACATGTTTTCTCCCTCTCCCTCTCTCCTTCCCTCTCCCCCTCTCTCTGTGTCACACACACATTTACAGGGACAAAGCAGGGGTGCAAAATAACTTGTCTTTTTCACATGAGACAGAGACCGATATGTCATTGGAGACTGGAAAAAAACCTTTGTGAATAAGCGAAGACTGTCTTCTGGCATGGTGAGAATTTAATGAGGGCATCTCATTAGGGCGCTGGAAGATGTTTCTGAAGTGCCATTTATCGAGAAAAGGGGTAAGGATTAGCAACAGGCAGAACGAATGCATGGTTCTGAATTGTCTAGTTCTCTGCAGAGGGAGGGGTCGTTTTGAGCCGGCGTTGGGACCACTCAGCCAAAACCTTGGCAACTTAGTGGATGAATTTGTTTGTCTGAGCACACCCGAAAACATTCTGAAGTGGTTGTAAGAGAGTAAACTCAAATTAGATATCTCTGCCAATAATAGATGTGGAAGGAAAAACGATGACGCAGTTAAAGGATTAACAATGGCTTTGGCCGAGATGGCTTGGCAGAGAGATGGTCAACGGCCGAAGGCTTCAACGGTCAGCACAGACTCGGAACTAAAATCCGTTGTTGGCTAGAAGTAAGTTTGATGTGGCTGAGCCGAGTACCGACAGTTCGAAAGTTCATATTGACCCAACTGTGAAAAACTCGGCGCCTCGGTGGGATTCGAACCCACGCAGTAAGGGGAAGGCTTTAGCGCAGCCAACGCTCTAACCACCTGAGCTACGAGGCCCCGCCGGACGACGCGAGTTTAATCACATTTGGGTCAAGTTACCCGCCCAACCTACTGCAACGTCTGGAATCCACCAAATCTGATACAGTAAGTTGACTGCCCAAGCAGGATTTCCTAAGTAATTCACCTAGAATCCACCAGATGACTACCAGGCTCGCGTAATTCATTGATATTTTGGCAGATTTTGACTCGTAGCTCAGGTGGTTAGAGCGTTGGCTGCGCTAAAGCCTTCCCCTTACTGCGTGGGTTCGAATCCCACCGAGGCGCCGAGTTTTTCACAGTTGGGTCAATATGAATTAGTCAAAATCTGCCAAAATATCAATGAGTTCGAAAGTTGTCAGGTGGGAAATTGTTAAGACAGTGTACCTCGTGCCTCTGGCAATTTCGGCACACTCTTTTCCTAGTTCTGACTTTTCCATGTGTGTCGGAGCAAATACACCGATCGTCAAGGCGCTTTTTTGCTGCCTGTAATTCCGTGGAGGTAAGCTAGTTAAGCATAGAGGCACATGCTTACATTAGCGGGACAGCAAGCCTACCTTTGTTCAGTGGTCCTACCAGTGGTCTCTATCCGTTGCAGCGGGAGAAAGATGGTGACCGAGAATTGGAACGGATCGTTAGCCTCTGAACTACTTCCTGGAACTCGTCTGTTTGCTTCTATCAGAACGTCATTAGTCTTGCTACTAACTTGTTAGATGTCCGGGGTGAACTGAGAGATGTAGCCCGAGTTTGGAGGATCATGCAGATTACATTGAGTAGGACAAGACTGCGGAGTGTAGGCCAGGGGTTTGCATTCAGTAAAAACGCACAATTATATGACCCAGGAGAGGTGTCGGAGGAGTTCCGAAACGAGTTAGATTAGATGATAGCGCCTAACTGTACTGAGGCGGGCATCATTAGGCAAGGAACTATTGGAGAATAAGTTTTGATGATTAGAATGTGAAAGGTGTTGGTGGAGTAGTGGGTGACAGGAGCGTAAATGTTACACAACTTATCGTCCAGTCCACTGACGACGTCAGTGTTCGCCAGCGAGCTACTGGGCCCGTTGTCCGCATTCACACAGTTAAGCAGGGAAAGTAGAGCGCCTGCGCGAACGCGTTCGCAGGTCCAGTGTGATTATGCTAACGTAAACGCCCGGCGGAATCGGTTCCGATGCACGCCCTAACAGGAATATCAAAAGAATCAGGGAAGTACAATACGGGCGAGATCCCAGGGCGCGCCCGAGCCTTGATCAGTCTGCAGCTCCAGCAAAAGGCAATATCAGTTTTGGCGGAGCTTGCATTCTTCCTTAACCCCAGATCAAGCCCTTTATTATCTCGGAGTTCGCTGAATCAAACAGTACATTCAGAAATCCTTTATTAGTGCCGTCGTGGCTGCTGATTAATAGTCAAGAATATAAATTTGCGGGAGTATCACCAACAACGATATGGCAGGTTGGAATAATCATTTTTGCGCATTTAAGGCTGTTAGACAGACACACCCCAACCCCACACTAGGAAGATCCTAGGTTTGAGCGGGGTTCGCTGGGTAAATGAGCAATCACTATACCATTGCTCGGTAAGATGGGGATATGTAACCCCACCTGATGGGCACAATACTGTTGGGGAAGGGTTAGGATTAGATACTAGGCCAACTATTTCTCAATTACTCAAAGCACAACTGGAATAACCATTTTCGCGTATTTAGCGCTGTCAGTTAGACACACCCACAACCCCATACTGGGGAGATCCGAGGTTTGATCAGGGTTCACTGGGTAAATGAGAAACCACTATACCACTGATCTACGGAGCTGAACCCGGTCAGCTGCAACTGGAACCATCCGGTCACATTTAAGTGACATTCACAGGTCTAGCCTGAATATTTGTGTAGGGGAAGAAAACTATGCCCAGTGTGAAGAGTCCAAATTATTGTCCTTTGTCCTACTCTGTCTATTATCGGGGCCCACCTGCATGTAGTGTTTCCTGTGTATTTACATCCCTGTCGCCCTGGAAGGTGAGGAAAATAGTAAGTACGTGGGACACCCAATGCGAGTTGCAGGAATACGATTTCTTACGTTCATGTTTTCGCTGTGTTCAGACATCTATCTAATAAGCTTACTTGAAGAAGTACATACAGGGAACGCTAAAAATGGACATAAACCCCCTTCTGATTAGTTCCCTTGGAGGCAGAAGTCTATTCTTATGGAAATAGCATTTCATCGGGACAAAGCAGGCTCTTTTTGCTTTGACTTGGTTACCCGAGCCTGGGGCTGGGTTATAACTGAGCTACGACAACATTTATACTACAGATGGCCACTCTAGGCTCCTTCGTCTTCGATGTTGTTCTTTCTGCTTGCGGAGGCCTGTGTCAAAGTTGGAGGGCAACCGCCATCTCTCTACTTTGGCACATGCAAATGCAATTGTAGGTCTCGTTTTTCATATTGGAAATAACTGTCTAGGATCCGGGTGAATCATCCTGAGTGCCCAGCTAGAAATAATACGGAACCAAAAGTAACGCAACGGGGTGACGGGTATTAAACAGAAGTGTTGTACTTGCGCGCATGACGAAGGTAGCAAACTACATGATGTCATCAGAACGCCTACGACAACCTCAAGGCGATGCACAGAAAAAGAAATGCACTTTGATGACCCCAAACTTCAGACCATAGCTTATAAGCTTTTGGCGAGGTCTTTTCTAACAAATCTAGCAGTCTCGTTGCAAACTTGAAATCGTACTCTTTGCGTGAACTCACCGGCGGATTGAAAGATCGGCACGCATGCACGTGCTCCAGAAATAGTGTAATCGGGGGTAATAAATGGTAAAGAAATCATTCAAGAAATAATTGACTCCCGAAGAATTAAAGGATAAGTATGCTGCGGTGGATGCATTCAGATTGAGTTTCCTTGAGGACGAACCAAACTATGCGCTCGCCTCCGGACTTTTCAGAAAACTAAAACTACACAAGTAGATTAGGATGAATATCCTCAATCGATATGGGAGTATCACCAGACTGTACACAACATCACCTGCTCGGTAACGGACATATGAGTGGTACTGACGTCTGCCAGCACTGACGGAGCTTATCTTACTGTCCCGCTTGGTGCCAAGGTCTTTTTCCAATCAAAAGACAATCTAGCGCGGACCGTAGTAGGGAGGTTGCAGTGGTCGGTGGACGACGAATTATCGCGTATTTTCAGGTGCCCAGGCCCAGAGAGGGGAAAGGTCTAACCGCAGGCTCGTGAGGGGCTGTTGTGCGGGGGGGGGGTGACGCATGGCTCAGAGAAGTCAGTCCACATAATTGCATTGGCAAGGGGAACCCGTTAGTAATTATGCAGGATCAACCATCGAACCCGGAAGTCGTTAAGTAGAACAACAAGCTCGGCAGCAGCGCAAGCAACATGTGCTTTGACAGTGAAGAGGAGAGATTAAGGGCAAGACTATTCGGTCGGGGCTAGGCTGAGTTGACAGAGAAGGTTTCACCTTTCAGTGAGAACCTTAGATTAATTCAGTAGCCTGCAGATGCTATCCTATGGTTCCGGTGCAGTTGGCCTCAAAAAGAGAAGTCAGGCGTTGAAACACGGTTGATTTTAACCCTGACAGACATTAAAAATCCCGATGCCTAGTGTGTCAGGGAAACTGTGGCCACAGTTTCTGACGGCAGCTGACCAACAAGTGCGTCCATTGTTGCACGCAATAGACAATACAATTGGACTATAGAAGCAGACCTTCCAGGTCAAGCTGCGCTACATTGAAAGTGACGTCAGAGACTACCGGTGACGTTGAACATGAAAGCATTGACAGGGGAAACAGAAGCGGATCGAACGTCGCACGACGAGGTTGCTGTTAAGTCGGATGGGTCGTTTAGTTCACTGGCTCACTGACACCAGGGTGAGAGGGGCTGTGAAGAGCGTTAAATATACCTCATGGCAATATTTC